AAACCAGAAAAACTATCTGTGAAATTATTTTTCATATCTACTGTCTCGTAGTCATTTGACCTTATTATTCAAGATTTTTAACAACATCTGTGGAACTTTTTCAGATTTAGTTGTCAATTTTACTGTTTTTCTAATTTTTAAATCATTACTTTCTGCTTTGTACTTGAATACTATTTTTCAATTGTTTTCTAACATACAATTCTTTTCAAAGATTTGTTTATTTTTATTGGAAAGTCAGATATACAGAGAGGAGGAGAGACAGAGAGGAAGATCTTCTGTCTGCCGATAAACTCCCTGAGTGGCCACAAAGGCCAGAGCTAAGCTGATCCAAAGCCAGGAGCCAGATTTTCTGGGTCTCCCATGCGGGTGCAGGGTTCCAAGACTTTGGGTCGTCCTCAACTGCTTTCCCAGCCACAAGCAGGGAGCTGGATTGGAAGCAGACCACCGGGACTACAACCAGGGCTCATATGGGATCCCAGAGTGTGCAAGGTGAGGACTTTAACCACTAGGCTATCACACCGGGCCCATATAATTGTCCTTATTTTCCTGACTAAAGTCTTCTCTGATGCTTGCATTGTTTCTTGATTTAACATAGATTCACTTAAAGAACTGTCAGAGCTTTGCCCGTATTCTATAAATTTGCAAAATGCTGTTCTCATTCCTCTTATCTAAATATTCCATGCCTGCTAGTTTGGGTTCTCTCTAACCCAAACGTTTTGTTTTCCTTTTTATTAATTAAATATCTTCCCTCTAATCTTCTCTTGCTCTTTCCTACTCTGATTATAATGTGTTCAGAGAAATTAACATATGACTTTCATTTTATTATTTTATTATTTATTCATTTTATTATTAATGATGTTTTTCTTTGAGACCAATATAGAAACAATTTGTCTGATACATATAACAAGAATTCCTGAATCTTCCCCGTTTAGAATATAGTTTCTACTTTGGACTATGCAATACAAAGGGTTATCTAACACAATATGGGGAGATTATACTCATTTACTTTTAGCTTGCCCTCTGTTTTGCATATATTTTATGTTTTATATTAATATTCTATGATATTAATATAATGAATAACATACACATGTTGGGAATATACACTTGAAAAGCTCTTTAACAGTAAAAAAAAAAGGGAGATGATTAACCTGCAAGATATCAAGTTCAATATTTTTAAACAATAACATTCTATACAATATATTGAAACTGTATGCCCCAAATGCTTTACATGTTGGGGTTCACACACAAAAGCATTTGGAGACAACTGCATCATCAATGATGATGGAAAGATTTTGTTCTACGTGTCAGAATTCTAAAGAAGGTAGAGAACGCAATTTGGATTCACAGAGGCTGCTAGTCTGGACGGAATCCAGGAAAATGAGGGGACCAGGTTCATGCCCACCAACCATGTCAAGGCTTCCTTGGTCCTTGGAAATGTCTCCACTCTCAGGTTTTAACACTATGAATCTCCTCTAAAACCTGCCAAGCTGCCTTTTCCTGTTTCTCTGGACTTCCGTTTCTTTCCAGGAGCAATCTGACCCAGGCTTCTGTGAAAGTCCCCTGAGTATCTGTGGCCTTAGTAACTTGGTAGGAGTTTTCTGTGCACCAGGTGGAGGACTCACACATGGCTCAGCATGCACAGCTCTGCCCCTTCCTCCACGTGGGAGTTTTCTGTGCAGAGTGGAGGACTCACATGGCCCAGGATGCACAGCTCTGCCCCTTTCTCCACGTGCTATTTTCCTTTTCCTTTCCATTAGCCTATGGAAAGCATTTTTTGACCCCTTTTCTACAACAGAAATGAAAAAAAAAAAACATTTTAAAATCTATCTTCAACCCCTTCCTAATCCTTTCATGTTTTTATGGAAATAATCTAGAATTAATCATCTAGAATCCAGATTATTATTCAGTTTTACATTTATATTTTATTCATTTTTTCCAAGAATTGTTTTCAGATCATATGAATCATTTTCTTGGTCACTAAAATAGGAGACTCAGTTCTATGTTTGATTGATACTAATGTTCTCTATTCACTCGTTTATCTTGAGGTACTCATTTCTGTGTTCTCAACTTTGATTTGTCCCATTTGTATGCAGTATACTTTCAAAAATCTCATTTGGTTTGCTCTTTGAGTTTTAAGATGAGCTCATATGAAGTACATTTTACATGTGTATATTTCTGTTGTCTTCACAATTCAACAATTTGAACTGTGCATCTTGAGTCATGACTTTTTACTTTCAACATTCCTTAGGTATCATACTACTGTTTTGCAGCTTTCAGACTTTTGGCAAAATCTAAACACAGTCTTATTTCTGTCCTTTGGGCGGCTTCCTTCCTGGGCACCTGTAGGTTTTAATCATGTATTCATCTATGTGCTGAGGAAATATTCAAGCACTGATGGTGTGCAGAACATTGATCAAGATATAGCAATAAAGGGAAGAAAGCTCTGCCCTCATGGAGCTGGCATGCTAGTGCAGGAGACAGATGGTAAACAAAACGGACAATAAAGTATGCAGCATTTCAGATGACTGCACAGCTGCAAAAGAGTGGCAGGACACATCACAATTTAAACAGGGTCCTTGGGGTGCTCTTCACCAAAGTGCCTTTGAAGAAAACCCTGATGCGAAGGGTGGCTGTTAGGACACCACTGGTTGGGGCACCCACATCCCAAACCACAATGCCAGGGTTCAGATCTCACTTCTGCTCCCAATCCCAACTTCCTGCTAATGCACACCCTAGAAGGTAGGTAGTAATGGGTCTCTACCATGCACATGGGAAACTTGGATTGAATCCCTGCATCCTGGGTCTGGCTACAGCTGTAGCTTAGCCCAGACCACTGCAGGCATTTTGGGAGTGATTGTGTGTGTGTGTGTGTGGGTGTCTTTCTCTGCCTCTCAAGTACACTTCTTTTTTTTCCCATTTTTTTTTTATTGATTACATTGCATTATGTGACACAGTTTTATAGGCACTGGGATTCCCCCCACCCCTTCCCAAATACACCCCCCCCATGGTGGATTCCTCCACCTTGTTGCATTACCACAGTTCAAATTCAGTTGAGATTCTTTCATTGCAAGCATCTACCAAGCATAAAGTTCAGCATCTTATTGTCCAGATAAGTTCAATGGTTTCTTGGGGAGACCATCTCTGGTTTGAAGGTAGAGCCGACAGAGTATCATCCCAATCAAGTAAAAGCCCCGACATTACATCAGTAACAATTTATAACATAATGGAATTAGTTGACATGGTATTGAGTAACCAACATGTTAAAAGAGAGAGAGAGAAAAAAAGAGTGCAAGTTCTGAACCACATCCTATGACTTCTACATGGACATTTCACTTCTTAGTTTATATACAACCGGGTTCTATACACCTTAAAATGGCTATAGATTACTATTCAACTGTCTCATGTCTATTCAAGCACACTTCTTAAAGAATAAAGAGTGTGAAGGAGGGCCTGAGGAAAGAGATCCTGACCAGAGAGCTTGCCAGCCATGCTCCAGAGATCAGAGTTAAGGAGAACACTATGACTGGAGGGGGAACAGACAAGGCAGAGAGAAGATGAGAAGCTGTTGAGATCAGAGTTGTCAAGTCCCAAACTGAAGTTCCAAAGAAACACACATTGGGCATAGCTCCTGTCTAAGAGAGAAGCATGGTGAGCAATGCTTCCCAAAGTAACTGGCCAACGGAATCCCATAGAGCAGGCTTGATAATGTTCATCTACCATGGACTCAGCAGCTCTTACTGAGAACCTTCTTACCATGTGGCAGGCACTAACCTAGACGTTGAGGATACAGCGGGGAGTAAAGCAACGTCCCTGCCCTCATGGAATTCACACCTGCGTGAATGACAAATAACAAGCCCGTATGTGCTTGAGATAAATGCCATGGCCGATAAGTGAAGCAAGATAAAATATTTGTAGAACACTAGCTTTGCTGAACACTGATCTCTTCTCGTCAACTTTTCCTAGAATCTTACGGCTACTTATATTTTTCTTAAGACTAAACTGGGTCTACCTTTAACCACTATTTAATGTTAACTTCTGTTTTTATCTAAAAACTTTTTGGAAGTGTCTTAAAGCATTCACACATATACAAACAAGAATGGTTTTTGCTTAGGAATAGCAATAACCTCTATGATTAAGTACCATTCTCTTTTCTTTGCATATTTAATTGCTTTGCTTTTTATTTTTCTCTCCTCTAATCTGCTAGAATTTTTTTTTAAGATATTTTTTTAATTGGAAAGGCAGATCTATATAGAGAAGGAGACACACAGAGAAATATCTTCCATCTGCCGATTCACTCCCCAGTGACTGCGATGGCCAGAACTGAGCTGAACTGATCCAAAGACAGGAGCTTTCTCCAGGTCTCCCACACAGGTGCATGGGTCCCCAAGCTTTGGGTCATCCTCAAATGTTTTCCCAGGCCATAGGCAGAGTGCTGGAAGGGAAGTGGGGCAACCAGGACATGAATCAGCACCCACAAGAGATCCTGGAGGAAGCAAGGCAAGGATTTAGCCATTAGGCTATTGTGCCAGGCCCATTATCTACTAGAGTTTTTAGCTTTATCCAAGATTTTCAAGTTCAGTGTTTTCCTTACCTGTTTTTAGTTCAATGCACAATCACAATTACTTAAAAGCGTTTCTTTTCAGGTCTGTATGATGGCTAAATTGGCTAATCCTCCATCTATAAGCACTGGCATTCCATATGGGCACCGGTTCATGTCCAGGCTGATGCACTTCCCTTCCAGCTCCCTGCTTATGGCTGGAAAAGAAGTGGAGGATGGTCCAAACCCTTGGGACCCTGGCTCCTGTCTCTTGGCTTACTGGCTTTGGATCGGCTCAGCTCTGGCTATTGCAACCACTTGGGGAGTGAACCAGCAGATGGAAGATCTTTTTCCCTGTCTCTCTTTTTCTCTGTAAATCTGCCTTTCCAATAAAAATAAATAAAACTTTAAAAATTCTTTTTGTAACAATATTAGCTTTTATATTAGATCTTTTTTTTGGGATAAAAATATGGAACACTTCACGAATCTGCATGTCATCGTTGTGCAGGAGCCATGCTAATTTCTGCAGCATTCCAGTTTTAGTATATGCACTGCCACAGTGAGCACTAAATTAAGTCTTTAAGTGTAAAAATAATAGCTGATGCCTTTTGGATACTCAATGAAGAGCATCACATCCTCAATTTTATTTACTGTTCAAACTACTCCTTGAGTCTTCACCATTGAACAGACAATGACCTTAAGACCTACTAGTATGAAGGGATTATTGGACCTATTGTCTATCTCTCCAGTTCTGCTCTGTACAGAATCTAACACGGATTAATTTTAGTTGTTTTATTTTTGTTTATCTGATACTTAATTGTTTCTTTACATTTCATCTTTTGGGATTTCATCTATCTTTTATTTCTAACTCCCATCACTCTTATCCAATCATATCATACAGCAGAGTATCATCAGCCCATTTTTTACTTCTTATATCACACACTGCAGACTTATGTTTCCCTGAATTTTGTTAAAAGAGCAACTCAGATATCCTGAAGTAACCCTCAGCTTCCTGTGATCGGTCTTCCTCAAAAAACAAGTTTTCTACATAGTGAGTACCTTGCTCTCTGTTTTATGTCGCAGATTTTCTCAGAGGCCTTACATGCTTTTATCCCCTACTTACTCATTCTTGATCAAAAAAGGAAAGAAGGAAGGAAGGAGAAATCAAATGAGAGAGAAATAGAGAGATGGAGAGAAAGGAAAAGGAATAGAAAGAGGAAAGGAGAGGGAGACCAGATGAGCATGTTACTATGACAAGGTCACGTATCCCTGAAGAAGGTCCATGCCTGGCCCAGAATCAACCCTTTCCCAATGCCAGCAGCACTTCCCTAGATGACCATTGCCAGCTTTAGGCACTTCCACCCCCATGGCATTACAGGGCTGTGGGATATCCCGGAGGAGGGGCATTGACAGGAGGAGCACGGGGCATCGAGAACTCTGGCATCATCAGAGGCGTGTAAGAGAGTTTCTTCCCTTTGGAGAAGATCTCACATGAAGGCGTAGATGCAGAGAGGAGATGGAAGCTATCTCCTGCCTCTTCCCCTGTGGCTCCGGCTTTTGCATCAAAGCTTCATCTGAATTTGGCTTGATGGGAATGATGTGTACTGGATTAATATTCCACTATTCTAGCGCAGTTAAACATGGAAATATTTGTGGTTTCAGGGAGGTGTCGACGGGAATGTGAAGATGGAGTGGAAGCAGCCAACTAAACAGAAACAGGGAAGCAAGCTCACAATGGAGAACAGGCAATTCTCCATCTTGGCCTCCCTAAACTTCTTAACTTCCCTTCATCTGTGTCAACCCCAAGCAGAGCAGGGACTTTCTTATCCTTACCAATGAGGGTTACTGAAGTTAACAGCAGAACAAAATAACTGAGAATATTCCCAGGAAGCAGGCTTTCTGGGTTCAAATCCTAAGTCTACCACCTACTGGATGAAAGACAAGAGGCAAGTTCCATAACCTTTTTGGCCCTCGATTTTTCCATCTGTAAAATATAGGTAGAGATAGGCCCTCTCTCACAGGCTTATTGTGAGAAGTAACTGATGTGATCTTTGAGAAGCACTGATGCAGCACCTAGCACATAACAAAATGCTAGTATTGATCCATTGCTTGCTCGACTGCTTGATCCATTGACTGAAAGCGACCAACCTTAGGAATCTATGAGCCTTTTCTGGACACACACAATCCATCCCCATGGACTATGCCCTGAGTTTCCTTTGCTCAGTGACCTTTGCTTTTCTCGACCCTGACCCTTGACCAGACTCTGTCCTTGAGATTTGAGCCAACTCCCTGTCCTCAGAATCCCCAGGCCCTGAAGACTTCCTGTGCACTGGTCTTTCATTTAATCTTCACCAAAGTCCACTGAGGTCAATGTTACTACTATCCCCATTGCACAAATGAAGCAATGGAGGCCTAAAAGTTGTCAAGTAAGTATTAGAAAAGTTGGAATGCAAGCCAGAAAACCTAAAGAGTGGAGCTGCATCTCTGTACAGGGCATACAGGTCCTTTTATTAAGAAAGTTCCAGAGCTTAAAGCCAGGCAGAGATCTGGTGCTCTTGCTGAAAGTTTATAGAGTGAAAAGCTTTGCCCTAGAACAATGATTCTCAACTGGGTAGGATTTGCTTCCTACAGGACATTGGGCTGTGTCTGGAGACATTTACTTGTCACCACTAGTAGGAAATGCCATGGTCATCTGGTGGGTGGAAACCAGGGATGCCCAGTGACACAGTATTTCCTGGTCTCCACTGCCAATAGTGTCCAGAGGGACAAACACATGGCTTTGAAATTAAGTAGATCTGTTCTGCTCCCCAGTATACTTTTGATCAATACCAAAGAAGCCAGGTACCCAAATGCCAGGCTCCCCAGCAGGGCATTCCTAATTCCTCTCTATGAATTAGGCTTTCACTGTCTCTCTCCTACGCCATTTCAGTCATCTCATCGTTCCATATTCTAAGAGCAATCTTAGAGTTGCCCTCGAATACAACAAGAAATTTTGAGTTTCGGAGAGGAAGTGGGAATCTGAACTGCTGAATGAAATGCTCTGCAGCTAACAGGCCAGCACACAGAATCCTCTGGATTTCAGACCCTACTCCTATTCAGGAGCTTTTATTTTGCATGTAAATGTCGAGAGAGCCACGGGGTGAAGGGGCTGGCTTGTCCTCTGCGAGGAGGAAAGTTGTCGTCCCCTCTGAAGTGGCTGCATTAATGTCATGTCATTACACCATATTGCTGCACAGGTTAATATAATTGGGTGACTATGTGTGAGCAATGATCCGTGCCATGTTCCAGCTCTGAAACAAATGACATTTAACCAGCCGGGCTGCAAGGCTCCTTGTTATCTACATGGTGAGCAATTGGAACGGGAAGCAGACCTCTCGATGAGCAACTGATGAATTAGTTGTTGGGTTTCCTCGACAGCTTGGATTTATAAGAGCACGATTCAAACATAATTTATTAGATCTATAAACAGACAGATCTGATGTTTTCACTGAGATTTCATCTTGTCGCCCTTTGATATTGTGTCACTGACAACCCTGTTATAATGTAATTTTATTATTCTGATAAGGTGTTGTTTCTGGAGGTTTTATTTATTTATTTCTCACTGAAAGATATTTTCAGGTTTAGGAGGAAAGGAACCAGAAAGTTTTGTGCTAGCTCATACCTGGCAACGTCCAGTTTTTCCAGGCTGTGACTGAGTGTCTCAATGGCAGAGAGAGACAACATTTTCATTGGAGTAATGAGCAGCTCCTGGCCTAAGAGTGGCAGGAAGAACAGGAAATGGCGGTACCTGTGGGGTGTAACTGGGGTTTGGAAGAGAATCTTCCTCAAGGAACCTGGTCCTCTTGGGACCCACCTGTCAGCCCAGGACACAAGATAGCCCAGCTGGGTCCATTCACCATTTACTTGATGATACAGCTGGGGTCTTTAGCCACCTGGCCCAAGGATCACTCCCACGATGATTGTAAGCCAATCCTCCTGGCTCTGGCAAAGGAGAGGGTGCCTGGCCACTGTTAAAGGTCCTTCAAGCAAAAGGGTCTCAGTAAAGGGATGGTAGCTGTCCCAAAAACTACTGAGAAGATTGATAGAATTACATGTCTACCGCAAACAGCATAAAACTGAGAAAACACTCCAGATCAGGCAACATCCCTCTGGGTGATTGTGACTTGGGCATTCCACTCCCTTTTTATGAGCCATTGCCCAGCCAAGACAATAGTCCTGGTGAGAAAAAAAGACAGTGAACAGAGCTGTATAAGTTGAAATGCAGTGCAAATGAAGGGTATGCTGATTAGCAGTCACAACTGTATGCTCTCAAAAGACATTTTTTGGGAGTCCAGAAGGGATATATGTATTTATTGGTTTTAATTGAGAGTCATAATCATCCATGGCAAGCTTTAAATTTTACCAGGTGCTCTCACATCCTCACATGTGATGTACTGACATGACAGCTTGTTTAGTTCCCCTAGAATTTTGACAAGGGTGAGTGATTTTATGGATAAAGAAAATGAAGCTTATAGAAGTTATCAAGAATTATTCTGCTAGTTAAGGGATTATTTTTCACATAAAGATTTCTGTATTTATTTTGCAAGTCAGAGTGAAAGAGAGAGAGAAGGAGAACTTTCATCTGCTATTTTGCTTCTCAGATGGCCACAACAGCCAGCATTGAGCCAAGGCAAAAACTAGAAGCCAAGAGTTTTGCTGAGATATCCCATGTGGGTGGCAGGGGCCCAAGCATTCTTGGATCATTCTTGGAGCTATCAGGACACGAGCCAGTGCCCACACAGGATACCAGTATCACAAGTAGCAGCTTTACCCAGTATGCCACACCAGCCCTATTACAGGATTTTAACTCACAACTGAGCAAACCCCACATCCAAGGCTTTGCATTTCTGGTAAAAATCAGGGCTCTCTCTGCTCATGACCCAAGTGGATCAGGGAATGACTCTGAGGACACCTGAATGAATGAATTCAGCCACAGCTGGTTCATAGGAGAAAGCATCTGGGCTTTTCTGGGGCACAGGTGCTCTAGGGGTTAGCTCCACTTCTCTGTGGGTCAGTTTCCATCCCCAAGGCTGCAGGCAATTCCTAGAGTCATTCATAAAGCCCTGCATGCCTCAGGGGGAGAAAGGGAATTAATATCAGAAGTGGCAGTCTCAGAGCGGCAGCTCCATAACAGGCTTGAACCCCGACCTCCCAAGCTACAGCCAGCTGGGAACAGCTCAGCCAAGCACGTCATTGACTCCCAGAGTCCCAGAACCCGAGATGTATGTGTAGACTCGGGGGTCACCCAGTCCAGCACCCTTATTTTACAGCTGAGAAGGTAGCATTACAGAGAGGGGAGTGGGGCTCACCCAGGTTCACAGAATGGGTCAGGGGGCAAAGTCAGGGCTGGAACCAGGTCGCCGGGTTCAAGACTCTTCCTGGCACGGGGGGCCCCATCCAGAACACTCTACCATCAAATGCATTTCTGAGATCCATCAGACATAGGGCTGTCCAAGCACCAAAGATGCAGCCAACAGGTTCGCACAGATGTGTTGCGCACACCCTGTCACCCTCCTTCACCTCGGTCT